CCCCGAGAGGGTTTTCTGCGGGTACTCCGGTGTTCTCCCCTCCTCAAAAACCAGCAGTTCCAAATTCCAATTCGACCAGAAATCAGGTAGACGAAGAACCACTAAGCTAATGTACTACCGCTAAATCTTTATTCATTTATTTATTTATATTTAGCTAAAAAAGTGTGGTTGCTGAACGGGTCTCACCCATATACATATTAATATTCGTTAAATACATAATGTTTACAGTATATTTGTGATCTATTCAATTAATGAAAGAGGACATGCTTCATTTACAGCCATCTACAGTCACAAATGTCCTGGTGTCAAAACATCGCACTCTTCACAAAGCCAGCTGGGAAAAATAAACCGTGACCTCGAGTGACCGCGTTATGATGTCGCCAGCTTTCTCAAGAATTCTCAAGAATTCTAAGGAATTCTTGAGATTTACTCTGTTCCCGAGAATTCTTGGAAATCATTTCGCACGGGTTGCTTAATAGAGGTGATCGCTCAAAAGAGATCAAATTTACAGCAAGTATGGGAAGCAAATGTTGGGGATTCGACAAGTGATCACTTAATGGAGATTATCGGTGTAGTTCCTTCAGCGCTCAAAATCCGGAAAGATAGTGTTCGGTGAAGAGTATACTCGACTACGGTTTCTATTGTTTCCTCTGGCCTAGTTTGTTTGTGTTTGTTAAAATAATTCCTTCAGCACAGGTCGAATTTTTCAACCAACTGATTTAGAAGACAAGAAACTCTCGTCTGTCAGACGTAAGAGTTTTAAAGTACCTTCAAAAGTTTTTGACAGATCCTTCCATCCGCTCGAGGTTAAGATTAATTCACTGCCCCTCAGCAAAAGCGGATACAAAAAAATAACATTGTACTCAAATTGCCAGTGATACGTTCCACTTGAACGTTAATTGGGCGTCAATAGAGTACTATAGATCTGTAGATGCAGCCGAAAATTTCTCTGTTTCGTAGCCCGGTTATTTGAGGTACGAAAGGATAAACTGACCGAGGACGCGCTTGCGCACGAGGGCAGTGTGAACTGAAAAGGAGATGAGCCAAAGTTTAAGATCCCTGCGCAAAAATTGTTCGCAGAAGCTTGAAATTGGCGAAAAAGGCCAAGACTTTTACACTGTCCTTAGCAAATCGGACCCAAAAATAAAATGAATCAAAATCCTTGAAGCGTTAAAAGGACACGGTCAGCTAAGGGACCGCGCTGACCTGGACACTACTTTCGCCGAGTTTGAAAAGCGTTTACCTCAACCCCAAATCAAACGTACGCGTCGGATACATGTAGAAATCCGCTTCAATCTTGCCTAGTGTTTCATTCGATCCTCGATCTTTTACAGAAAACCTCTTTTTGAGCAAACGTTAACTCATCTTATGATATTATTTTATCATATTTGGTTAAAAACAGCGGATGCAAAGAAACATGAACAGAAGAGGTGAGAGACGCGCAGGCGCCGGGCGGGAGAAATCGCCTTCATTTGCCAAATAACAAAAGAAATGAATCAATAACATTGGCGAGCAAATAATCGTTATAAATATTTGGAAAATCGATGGAAAAGGCTACATATGTTTTGAAAATCAAACTTCCTTCGACAATGATTTATGCAGACTCCGTGTCATTTCTCACCTCCAATTCAGAGGCATTCGTCGATGTCACTGGCTTTCCCTGGACAAATCCAACGGTGAATTCTCTATAGTATATAAGAAGAAATTAGTGCTCTGCTATGACTTAGGGTCTATAATCACGATTTCGGCTTGTAACTGGTTCAACTCCACAAGGTTTGTTTAGATATTCCGGATGTGCCTCTCACTATCTGTTTCACGCGCGTGTCTTGTGATATTCAAATCAGTCAAACCAGCTAAGAAATGGTATGAAATGCGCATGTGCATCAGCTGACTGTGTCCCTTTAAACCTGCTTGCTGATTGGGTAATGCAGTAACGTGGAAGATAAGTGGCGATGCGGGTCCCCGGGGGGATACTCCTGGGAATTCGTGGTGGGAATGTGCCGCCCGGCTCTCCATGATCCTGACCTTAATTATTTCAGATCAAAAGAGGCACAATTTTTTACAACCGTTTTCAGATCTGGCCTTTAAAATTCATACCCGTTTTCTGACTTGGCCTGTGTCATCATTACTTAGATTAGAACGCCGACAAAAGGTTTCTTAAAATCCAGTCCATTGTTCTGGCTCTTCCGCCCATCTACGCCCACAAGTATTGACTTACGGCGGTGATGTCAAAAGGACCAATCAAAACACGATCCGTTACTAAAAAAATTGTCACCTGACTGGTTACCAGAAACACCGATAACAACACAGGAAATAACTTCGAGGGTAAAACCAGTTTCGATAATTTATGGCTTAGTAGGGCAAATTAAACATTTCTTGTGGTTTTCTTTTATTTCTGGAACATTTGGAAATAAACGAAAGGCTTCTCGAACAGCATCGTCAAAAGAACATGAATGAGTGACGGATATTTTGTTCCACACAAACATGCCAGAACAACCAATCAACCAATTGGAACGCAATGTTCATACAGTGAACGTGGGAAAAGCTAGAGAAATGGACTGGCAGGAGTTACTTCTTTCATACACCTTTTATTGACAAACGGTACCCATTCCACATACCAAGTTTCGAACATTGCATCTCAGTTAACTGCTGTCTCTAAAATATGAATAAAACACAAAAGCAGAACATTCCTTGACTTTTTCACAGCCATAAGATGCATCTGTTAACCCCTTTGGGCTTAGATTAACTGTAAAAACCGTGGACGAAGATCCTGATAGTTGTAAACGTTGGATCTGTAGAAAAGACAACCTGAAAAAAGATCTAATCAGCCAAGAAATAAAGAACCAAAAAACGAGAAGTCCAAAGACTACTGCAAAATTAAAGCTGATTCAGAACAATGGCCCTTTTGGGCCCTTTAGGGCCTTTTTGTGTACAGACCGAAATGACACAATCACATACTACAACTACCGAAATCCCTACCCTGTCAAATACTTCAGGCCTGAAAAAGGAGCCCCTTTCGGGGGGAGCCTGCCCAAGGTTGTTATAGGAAGTACCCACCTCCCGGGGATTAAA